GGCAGGCCCTATGCCCTCAAGCAGCTGCACCCTCCAGCAACAAGCTGCTGTGCTATAGAACTGACCAAACCCAGCGCTGTGAGCCCGGGCCGGGGAGGGTGTAGTTATTTAAAATGGGAAAAGCCCGGTGACTCCGCGTGCAGGCAGGTGCCAGGGGACATCCGCGCTCAGGCTCGGTGGACAGGCCCCCCCGCTCCCTCAGCCCTCCCTTACACACGGGGCAGACACAGGACAGCCGCGTGTGCTTTAATACGAACCACGGCATATTGCAGATAAGCAGCAGGTACAAGATAGCTCCGGTAAAACAAATGTTTGTTCCAGCACAAGCTTCTTAACAGCATGAGCACCACACAGCTCATAGGAAAGCCTGTGTTTGGGCGCACAGTGCTGTGAACAGCTCTTAGTACCCTTCTCCAACCCACAACAACTGAACGACTTTAAAAAAGTAGAAAGTGACATTGAGTGAGTACACCAGCATTTAAATTAAGGCAAAATAAATAACTGTTCTACATCAGTGGCACATTCAGACAGGCACCAGAGCATGCAGGGTCTCATTGCCATGGGCTGTCCTCCGCTCCACCATGCTTCAGCTCATGCTCAGAGTAGTGTTCGTGTGCCTCAGGCCTGTGTGCTGTGGAAGAATTCCCCATCCCAAGCCAGGTTTGGCCATAAGGTTATTTTTGGTTTTTCCAAGCAACTCTGCCCTTTCCTCAACCCACAAATTGGCTTCTCCATAACAGCCTTCTGGTTGCTCCAGCACAGTCCACTTAAAGGAAAGAAGCCAGAGCTCTTAGTAGCGTGTAAAGTTTTCCTCACTATTGGGTAATAGTGTGATTATTCCTCAATATTAGGAAATTATTCCTCAGTATTGGGAAATAGCAGCTTTGACACAGCTGGGCAGAGTTAGCACCACACAAAAGATTAAAAAAAGTTAAGAGTGGCCAGTTTCAGGCACACGGCTGTTGATGTGGGTGATGGTACATACCTCTACCAGAAATACAACCACAGAATGAATACAGTTCTGCCAAGTAGCACAAGACACCCTAGGGGGAAATCATAATAATCAGTGTCTCACTTTCCCTGTCAGTGAGGAGGCAGTTATTTAGAGGGAAATTCAAACAGCAGAAGTTAAGAGCTCACAGTTCCATCCCAGCCATTTAGTGTGTTAGTCTCAATTTCCCTAAACCATGAGCAAAGGACAGTACCAAAACCAAGAAAACCCACATGAACAGAAAAAAAACCCAACCCACAACCAAAACACCCCACACATAAAACCCACTCGGTTAAAAATCTGACTTCCTCAAAGCCTTTATAAAACCTAGATGCCCTCTTCAGTCGGTGCATAAGAAAATCCTAAAAACGCATCTGCGGCACTGGAGCTGCTGGCTGCTAGGTCAGGCGTGTGGGTGATGGAGGTGGAGATGGCTTCTTGGGTGAACTCTGGATCAAAGTGTCGCAGATCAGCTGGACCAGCCTAAGCCAAGGAGCAGACACATACAGTCACTTCAAGTAAGCAGACCTCAACCAGCCACTTGTGTTTGGTCTAACACAGCTGCTCTTCCAAGAGAGTCAGCACCTCTGTATCTGCACTTCAGGACCCCTTGGTGTCAGTGTAAGACACCTGCAGAGGATTCCTTTTGTACCACTATAACAAATACCAACAGAAATACACACTTACCACATTGGGGTTGAATGGAGGAGTTATCCTCTTGTGGTACAAGTCATCCCAGTTTATTGGGCTGAAGAATACATGATTCTTTATCTCAAGCTGCATAGAAAGTAAAGCGTGAAAAGTCAGTCTTCTGCCAACCCGTCTTTTCCAGCACCTGCTAGCTGGTTTCATAGCATTAAGTGGTTGAAGCTACCACATATTCACATAAGGGCCATGTAGCAAATCCTTAACACATAAGGGTCATGGTCCAGTAATCCCTTGAAGGGAGATGACCGTCACACATGGGTGTCCTAGCTTGCAACCATATCTTTCCCTTTAGAAATCCAGGTCAAGCCCAGAACACCCTTCAGAGGCTGAAGAAATATCAAACTGTATGGAAGGCTTTTTCCGAGGCAGTACTGTTGTCATGAAAGAAAGGCTCAGAATAGAAAGGTTTCCCACCCATCCTCCCTCCTGACCATAATGGAGGCCACTTACAAAGTCTGACTTGGCACCTAGCCTCCTCTTCTGGTCCTTGTGGAGAAGTCCCTGGAGGATGTCACAAGCTGCCACAGTCTTACTTCCTTGGATCTGGAGTGGCTTGTGCAGAATGTTGTCATACATCTGAGACACATCCCGGCTGTAAAAAGGAGGCTAATTTGAAAGAGAGGAGAAGGAGCCATGTAAAATATGAGCTACTGCAAGGAACACACACGGCAGGTCAAAATGAGACCTGCAGCAAGCAGATGAGGGAGACCTGCCATACCTCTGTTCAGAGGGGCAATGGTGCGCTGAACTATGTCATCTAACTCAGGATGCAGTTGTCTGTGGCAGGTACCATGTGAACACCAGACCAATCTCACACCACTACTTTTAAAGTTAATTTCTCCACCGTAGAGAAATTCTCACCGAGGGGGTTCCCTCCCCATGGCAGGGGGGTTGGAACTAAATGATCTTAAGGTCCTTTCCAATCCCAACTACTCTGTGATTCTAAGTAAAGTAAAAACAGACTGCTTCCAAACTTACCAGTCCAAACAGCATTTCATAGAGGACAGCTCCTAGGCACCACCAGTCTACTGTCCTGTCATACGGCTGCTTCTTTAGCACCTCAGGAGCCAGGTACTAAGAAGAGTCAGCAGCAAATATTTTAGTCAACTTATAAAGGAAGGGCTTTGCCCTCATAAGTATGCAAACCTGACTGCAGTTCAAGCTGAGCAAATGCATTAGGAAACACACAGATGCATTTCCTACTATGCTTTGATAGACTCTCCACTTGCTTCAGAGCAAAGGGTTTGAAAGCCACCTACCAAACGCCACGAAGTGTTTTTAATGGGCTACAGAAGGTTGTTTTCCTATAGAAGACTTGTACAAGGATTTGCCACCCACCACAACTCAAGCAGGAAACCCACCCTGCACTAGCACATTACACCTTTAGGAGGCTCCCGTGGTTTTGAGAAGGCTGCACTTTTCAGTGCCGGTAAGTCTGTCTAAAGCAGCAAGACTACCAGTAACCACCACCGAGGAGCAACGGGCAAGAAATCAAGCAGCACATTGAGCCTGGTCTCCCACAGGATTACTTCTGCGTACTAATCAGGCTCCCACCAAAAGAACCAACCCCCCACCCCCCAAAAACCCCCAAAACAGAACAACAAACAAACAAAACATATCAACGAAAAACCTCCACACGACAAACAAAGGAATGCAGGGACAGGACAAGGGGAATGCCTCTAAGCTGACAGAGGGAAGACCGAGATGAGCTCTGAGGCAGAAGCTCTTCCCTGTGAGGGTGCTGAGGCGCTGGCACAGGGTGCCCAGAGAAGCTGTGGCTGCCCCATCCCTGGCAGTGTTCAAGGCCAGGTTGGACACAGGGGCTTGGAGCAACCTGCTCGAGTGGAAGGTGTCCCTGCCCATGGCAGCGGCTTAGAACTGACTGAGTGTAAGGTCCCTTCCAACACAAACCAATTCTGTATGATTTTCTTGAAACAATCCTGCTTGGTTCATGCCTTACTGTTGTACAAGTGGGTCCATACTGAAAACCAAGGGTTACCAGCAGGAGATTCCTGCCCACTTCTACTCAGCTTGAATACTGGAAGGTACCTTGTTTACAGACCCTTCTTTACACTGCCTGAGGAAGAACAGCAGAACAGGTGTATTACCTGGGCCAAAACACCACCAAAATCCCCAGTTCAGTAAGAAGCAGGGGGGGGGAAAAGAAAAAGAAAAAGACTCCCAAGAAGCCAAATCTGAGATAAGTTTTAGCAAACCCTAACTGAGGTGCATTGGAGAAAAAGCATTTCCTCCCCTCTGAGCAGTGTCCACATTCCCGAGGAGAGCCTCGTTCTCTGCTCTACACAGGGTGTTTTGCAGCTCCTGCATACCAAGGACACACAGAAGAGGTCCTGCGCAAGGTCCTGCGTATGGCAGTACCAATCGGCTCCCTGTTCTGCAGCTCCAGGGTATCAGAGCAGGTAAACAGCCCGCTCACAAGCTTGCTCATGGGCTTCCAGCATCAAGGCTGTCTCCACAGCCACCTCAAACAGCCCCAGTTTCACAAGACTAGCCATTTTCCAGTGCAGGGATCCCTACCCTGATAGCACAGCTGTCACAGGTAAAACTCTCTGCTGAGTACGGAAGACCTTATCTGAACTCCAGCTTTAGGCTGACAACCTCAAAGAGCCCACAATGGTCTAATCCACAGAGCCCATATTTTGAGATGCTGAGCACCCACACAAGTCAGACCCAGAGCAGCATGTCTCCAAAGGCTTTCAGCCCCAGGTCACAAAGAAACCCCAGCATATGCTGTACCTCCGGAGTGCCACAAAAAGTAGAAGTTGTCTCCTCTTGCTCCATTCCTTCTTTGCAGAGCCCGAAGTCTGTCAATACTATGTGTCCCTAGAGAAGAGAGAGACATTTCAGCTTGGCCCTCTCTTTCTAGAGAAGAGACAGGATTTCCAAGCATTGGCCTTCACATTACATCTCATGTATGTTTTAGTTCACCACTGCTCATCTGCTTCCCCTCCCTCACTGTCTGGATATCCTATAGGACAAGTACAGGAGTCTACAGAGGAAGTGGAATCTGGATTAATTGTTTTTATTTGTCTACAACTGCATAGCTATGAGATCCAGCAGCCTAGTGCTTTGCCACTGCTTTATGCCAGAGCAAGTTTATATATCAATCACCACCAGCACAGCCACAAGGATTGTGGGCGATCCTTGCCCACAGGTCAGACCCCAGATTTTGGGAGTAAGTTGAGGGCCCTGAGTGTGCAGTTCTGCAGAGCAGAGGCTCACCCCCTCGTGCAGGACCTGCACGGAAGGACAGTGGTGCATACATACAGAATACATGTAGTGAAGTGAGCTACAGCCTAGCTTGCAGAACCATACCCCTCTGTTTATGGTCCTGATGATTCTAAAGCCAGAAGGCAGGCAGCATGAGCTGTGACTATACCTGGCAATCCAGGAGAATGTTCTCAGGTTTTAAGTCCCTGCAAGACAAAAAATTGCTGTTTGAGCAGATTTGGCCAGATATTTAGAAAAGCCAGATCTGAAACAGCATCAGCTAAGAACAGGAGCTAACAAAACTTCCCAATCCAGTTCACCAAGATGTTCCCAAAGTACAGTCTCCCATCACTGCTAGGTATCAATAGACACATGCAAACATAGCAGGACCCTGTCACACAGAATCAGGTTTTAGCCTGCATATCTGTGCATAAATTGTTACAGAGACAAATTCTTGCTTATTGAGCCAGGTTTATTCTGGATCTTTGCACTTCACCCTTCTCTCTGTCAGGTTAGGAATCTTTGTTGCACATCAGACCCATGCAGACAGCACCCCTCTTGCAGGATAAAGTGCCAGCACCACCGTCTTGTCAGAGGTAGCTGATTTTCCAGCTGCTCCAGTCCTGCATTTTGCAGGACCCTAGTGAAGCCCTTTTCCACCCCAGTACTGCACACAGCTAGGCTGTGCAGAGTTGGTGCCCATGGTTTCCCTGGCAGGACCTTACCTGTAAATGATGTTTAAGGAATGCAGATATCCAATTGCACTAGCAACTTCTGCAGCATAGAATCGGGCCCGGGGTTCACGGAAACAGCGCTCCCTTTGCAAGTGGAAGAAAAGCTACAGGCAGATGATAGAGTGGATCATTTCTTCTCTAAAAAACCTGAAGGATACCTGGAGCAAGCCTGAAACTCAGCTACTCAAGTGAAAACTGATTTGCAGCAAGTAGGGCATGAACAGCACCAAATAAGCCCAAACCAAGTGACTTAAGCAATCTAAACACCTTTCTAGAAATTGCTTCACTTGTCCTCCTCTTACTTAAGAATTCATTCTCCCAAAAATGGTCATCTGCTGGTCTAGTTAAACTTCCTAGCTTGCTACAAGCCACAGGCAGATTACAGTGCTAGTATGGCCATGAGAAGTGGTACATGCACAGAGCTGAATCCATTAAGATCCTCCATACAAGTTCTCTTTGGCCAAGACATCCATGTTAACATTCTCTCACAGCCAGCTGCAGGTATAAAAGAAAAAAACAAAACCCAACAAACCAAGAAAAACAAAAAAAAACCCAAAAAAACCCCAACAAACCACCACAAAGAAAACCCAGCTGAAAAAAAGGTTTCTACAGGACAAAAATGAAACCTTGCTAACTGCAATGGCATCACCCAAGCATTAGACTAGGATCCAGAGCTGGCCCACAAGTGGGTTTTGTCTGGAGCTCACCAGCATCAGCATTTCCTGTATTCTCCATAGGATTTTAAAGCACCATTAACAGTCTCTTTTCTCAGTATCCTTGCCTTGGGATTCAAGTCATAGGCAGCAAGATTTCACTCAATTTACAGGTGAGATAGTGCCCTGGGTTCAGCTCTAACAGTTATTTTTGTCCTTCTTAGCAGCTGGTACAGTGCTGTGTTTTTGACTTTCAGTCTGGGAACAACGCTGATAACACCGATGTTTTTAGTTGTTGCTCTGTAATGTTTACTCTGACCAAGGACTTTCTCAGTCTCATGCTTTGCCAGGGAGGAGGGGAAGCCAGGAGGAAGCAGAGACAGGACACCTGACCCAAACTGGCCAAAGGGCTATTCCATACCACAGCACGTCATGCCCAGTATAGAAACTGAGGGAGTTACCTGGAAGGCACTGCTTGGTTTGGGCTGGGTATTGGTCAGCAGGTGCTGAGCAATTGTACTGGGCATCACTTGTGTTTGTTTTCTTTTTCTTCTCCCCTTTTAGCTTCATATTCTCTAGCCTTGTTATTTCCATTATTATTATTATTGGGGGTAGCAGTAGTGGTTTTGTATTACACCTTAGTTACTGGACTGTTCTTAACTCAGCCCATGGGAGTTACATTCTTTCGATTCTCATCCCCATCCCCCCCGAGCAGGGGGAAAGAAGGCAGGGGAGTGAGTGAGCGACTGCGTGGTTCTGGGTTACCGGCTGGGTTTAAACCACGGCACATAGCATACCACTTCTCCTGGCTGGTCCTTGCTAGCAGCTAAAGGAACACTATACTTCAACATCTTTATCTTGTGACAAGAAACAGGTTTAGGCAATAAAGCTACATGTTTGGGAAGGACCAAATAGAGGATTAAAATAAAGCCTGTAAGTGCACTCACCTCTCCTCCATTTACATAGTCAAGCACAAAGTAAAGCTTCTCTGAGGTCTGGAAGGAGTAATGGAGTCCCACAAGGAAGGGATGTGTGACGTTTTTCAGGAGCACGTTGCGTTCTGCCATGATGTGGGTTTGCTGTCAAAAAGCAGGCATGGCATTAGTTTCAGGCAAGGGTCCAGTCTGTTGTAGGAGCTCACTGTTGTTTCCAAAGCAGGTGGAAGCTGGGAGCCCAAGAGGGTCCTCTCCAGCCCCAGGAAGGGAACTGCTCTCTGCTGTCTGACCTGCATCACCTCAGTTCTTATCCATGTTCCCGTGGCACAGAGAAATGCATACGAGTTGTCTACATGAATACCAGCCACAAGATACCTCAATTGCATTACCAGGATGGCTCATACACTGGCCACTATTTAGAGAAGTAACCAAATAAAAGCAGACATACCTCCTTTTTCTTTAGGATGGTTTTCTTATGCAAAACTTTCACTGCATAAAAAGTCCCATCACACTTGCGTTTGGCCAGAAGAACCTGCAGCAGAAGGTCCTGTTAATGGATTTCAGTCTCGCCTTCTGTTGGGTTAGTGCTTCCTCATTAGCACCCCACTTGTGTAAGTGACTATACACAGAATACAGCTTCAGAGGATCAAGTACGAAGTTTTAAAGACCAAGCTCCAGTCCTCCAATTTCCCAGCACTTTCTCATTGCCAGAAGAAAGTACACTACATCTCCACATAAACCTTTCACATACCCAGTAAAAAATAGTTTTGGAGCACCTGGGGACAGCCCTATTTAAAAATGGATCCTTGCTATCTCAAAGTACAGATTTGCCTGGGGAATTTTTGCTAGCTGAAAAAGTCTGAAGCTTATTTTAAATCAAGTACTGCTCCTTACCATCACCACCCTGAGCATAAGATAACTCACACTTGTGTCCTTAGAGGGGTTGCAGGACAGCTCAAAGTAAGAATGGACTATGAAAACTCTTATCTCCAGTCTCATCTGTTCCCAGTCCCACTCAGAATAAGCTCCTCAGGAGAGGTACAAGCAAAGGACACCGCCAGAAACTCCTTCAGCAAGAAAGTTCTTCCGAGGTTGCCTCTAAAGAGCTTCAACCCACCTGTACAAACCCACTTACTTTTCCAAAGCTTCCTTTGCCAATAACCTTCAGGAAGTCAAAGTCTGTTGGCTTGGCACTGTTGGGCAAGAATGAAACAAGTTAATGTTTCTGGGAGAGAAACACACAACAGCAACACTGCCATCAGGGCAGAGTTCCCTTTTGGAGCCACCAGTGTTTGTGGAAGGGATTAAAGGGCACCAGATGGGTGATCCTCACCCCTGGCCAGCATGGGATTCACACTGTCTACGTCCGTGCAGCCAGCAGAGGATGAGCAACCCCCAGCAACCCTCCCGCTGAACACAAGCGGCAGGGAAAAGCTCCTGTGGGACCAAGCGGCATCTTTACAGGGAACATAGTTTATCCCCATTTCTAGAGAAAGGTGGTCAGGGAGCCAGCAGGGATGAGGAAGATCTTCCCTTACTACCTCTCAAGAGAAACAGAGCAAGGGGCTGCAGACTTGGACAGGACAATTATGATACAGGGACCAGCTATAGCTGAACACCTTGAGAGCTGGTGCATTGCTGATACACGTGGTATTAAAAGCCAAGTAATGTAATTGTTAAGATTTTTGCAGACACCACCCATGCAAGACACAGGGACCAACTACATTCCCCTGCCAGATCTCTTCACTGCATGCCCCACACCCTACCTGGCTTTTGCAGGGAGCTTACTTTGGGTTAGCAGAAGGTCCAAGGTTGATGTTGTCAGTTGGTGTTGGAGGCTAGAGAGGATAACAGTAATGTTAGTCACAAGGGCCATGCTGCAGGTTGCACTTTCCTTCCCTCAGAACAGTGTCACTTGCAGAGTCATTAAATACCCCTTAGCAAGAGACACAGAGGATGTTTTGGCAACTGAAGTGAGGGGGAAGGGAGAACAAAGCTATGCACTAAAGCTGTATCATTCCCAAACTGGAAGCTTTACTAAGCTAGAGTATGTGAAGTCCTCATCCCATACTTGCACAAATAAGAAGTACTAAGTAACTGCTTGGCCCTCAACTTGAGGTTTTCAGGACCTGCTGTGCTGTGACAGAGGAAAGCCACAGTGGGTCTCAGTCGCTCACCACAGCACTGAGACAAGTCATTCCCCACTGCCAGAGCTAGAGGCTAGGCAAGAAGCCCTCTGCACAGCTCAGATAGAGGATCACTCCTGCAGCAGGACATAAGCATTACCCCCAAACCCTGCAGCCCTCTGCCCACTCCTGCTGAGCCCCATACTGCCAAGTCTGGAGCATTGGAAGTGGCCTTATGCACACCCAGCACTATGGAGGAGCAACCTCTCTCTTCCCAGTGACAGAGGTACATACACACGTGGTCTTCCTCCTCTCCATGCTCCCCAGGATTCTTCCCCTCCTCAGACTCTGGGAGCATTCTGCCTTGTCCAAAAGGCTACATAGGTCCTGTCTGCTCTCATTTTACCTCCACCCAGCATAATTCCCAGGGACAAGGCAGCAGCAAGACTCCTAGCAGGCTAACACAGGCTCTCCTCCTTGCTTTTCTCCTGCAGGCACCAGCCCCTCTACATCCCCAAGGTGAAGACTTGCTGGCTCAGAGCCATGATCTCACCTGGGTGCTTTTATCTGGGCTCCGGGAACGATCCATTAGAAAGGCAACTCGTTCAGCACTTGGGAAAAGAAGAGCAAGCCAGTATTGAAAACAAAATCCAAGAGAGAAACTGCTCCCCTCTATCACAGGATACCTCAGCAGAGTTCTGCAGCTACCTCTTTGGTAGCACTGCTGCTCCTGAGGGGTGAGGATGCACATGCTCTGGGGGAGGCAGGGAAGAGTGGATACATGCTGACAGGAGATGGGAGGGAGGGGTGTGAACAAGCAAAAGCATATTAGATGCCACAGCCTTGGTTTGCAATAGCAGAAACTGGTCAGGGCACCAACACATGAAGACAAGCAGAGCCCCAGCAGCAGCACAGCACCAGGGCCAGAGGAGGTTGCAGCTCCCCTGGACATGGCCAGGCCCCTCTTCAGGCAGGTGCAGCCCCTGTCCCAGCGCACAGGGACCCCACGGCTCCCAGCCCTGCAGCCCAGCCCGTGTCCCCACAGGGCAGTCAGGGGGGTCCAGCCAGGTCTGACCACCGCACCCCTAAGCTGGCATTTGGGGCTATTGACACTCCAGGGAGGAGGGGCTGGCCATACCAGCGAGTGGAGGCCTTAGGGCACAGGGCTCTCATCTACCCAGTGCAGCTGCTGCTGGAGCAGTTGGACTTGAACACCACTTGTCAGTTCAGATCTGCCCTGCTTGAGCATCAGTGGGGAAAGCTGGGTCCTGCCACCCCAGGGATTACTCGCTTTGCTTTTAAGGGTTTCTTCCCCAACTCCTTTCAAAAGCCAGGATTAGAGGTGGCAGGAGGACAGGAGGAAAATAAAAAGTAGAAATAAATCCTCACACACTACTCCCTTCTCCCCTGCCCCAGAGAGCTTTGTCCATTGTCCCTCAGCCCCACAAAGCTCCCATACACCACAGGGATACTCTGAAAGCTCTCACTCCTCCATCTGCCCTGCCCCTTCCAAAAAGGGGGCCTGAAGATGCCACCCCGCATCTCACCTGTGGGTGCTCCCTCTCTGCACCCCCACGCACAGACCCCAGGCCACCCCAGAGCCCCCTCCTCGGTGGCCAGGCTGACCGCAGGCGCTGGCAGCTGTCCCCGGGCACTGCCCACATCTGCCTAGTGCCAGCCAGCTCCATCCACCGCCAAGCCAGCGCAGGGGCTACCGGGCTGAGCTTTTAAAGGGCTCTCATCCCTGGAAGGCTTTCATACTCACTACGAGCAGAGCCTGGAGCCGGAGGCCTTGATGGTTCGTCCTATCCTCTCCCGGCCGTGCTTGATGAGTTCTGTGAGGAAAGTTGGAGCACCAACGCCGATTAGCTGGCAGCGCGATCACAAGTGCACAGAGACACGTTTGTTCTCCACTGACCTTGCTCTTCTCTCCACAGCTGCCCTCCTCCCCCTTCCACTCAAGTACCAAAATAACCAGGAAATTATAGGAACCAGGACAGCTCCCCTCCCAGCCCCGCCAGGAGCCCTCAATAGCTCACAGGATGGGGATCAGTGCCACAAAACATACTCTCTCTCCTGTGGCAGAGGGAATTTGGGCTAAAGCGCTGCTGTTGCCTCCCTGAGCTACCTTGGGTCTCTGGGGGGACAAGGAGAGTGCTCACAAGGAGCATGTTGTACCAGGATAGTCACACACTTGGCACATCCTCTGCCCCTTTCATTCAGGACTCTGAGACTAATTAGGGACATAAATGAAACCTTTCAGGGCCCTGCAGGAGAAGCCAGCACACACACACACACACACCCCGCAACAAGGAACTGACTTGCCCAAGGGCACATAGCCAGGGCCAGAAGCTGGGATTCCCACCACAGAGCATCCCTTCTGCTCATCTGTGCAGGCAGTTGCCACCAACCATCATCATCATCACCACTGCTCCCTTCAGAGTGAGGCAAAGTCCTGATCCTGCTCCCAACTGCACAGCCTGAGAAGCGCAACCTGTACAGAGGAATTCCTGGGTTTGCTTGCAAGTAGATAACAAAAAATGCCAAGACTCAGTTTTACTCCCTGGCTCTGCCCTAGTTTTGCTACTGGAGGGAAAGAATCAAAACATTCACACACAAGTTGTAATACCAGAGTAGCTCTTCTACAGACCAAAGATCCACTGGCACCAACTGTCAGACCCCATGTCCCCAGGCAAGGATTCTGTAGAACAAGAAGTTTCTGGGTAAACACAAGCCCATTTACAGAGCTCTTCCTGTTCCTAGATCTGGAAGATGGAGGGACCTGCACTCCAGAGAGCCACTAAGCCAGGCAGCACCAGCAGCTTCAGGATCTGTGTGCAGATCTGACAAGGAGCCAAAATCCAGGCTGTAGTTTTAGAGTTTCTGAACGGATAGGAAAGGGAAAGCAGGAATTCAAAGAAAAGCCAGAAAGCATTCAGTGAGAGAGCTTATAATATCACGCTTGTCTGAGACCCTGACTTTGACCTGCAGGAGGTACAGGAGCTTGCCCCAGCAGGGCCACATGCAGGTAGCACCCAGACAGACCGATCCCATCTTCACCTCCCACTGGGTGTAGTCCTTACTTCCCTGACAGTCTGGCTCACTGACTGAAGGTCATCCAGTGCCTGCCTTGGGGCTGCAGGTATCCCCCGGGCTGCTGGGCAGGCTGGCGGGCAGGCCGGCGCGTGCTGGGCGGGGTGGCGAACAGGCTGGCCACAACCATGGCCACTGCAGAGGGGCATCAGCCATGCTTCCCAGAGCAAGCAGTGCTCACTCAAGGCTCTGTGCTGGGCAGGAGGGTGGCATGAGGGATGGCTAAGGGTACACAGGGATGTGTGAAACAAATCCCAGCCTGCAAGTGGCATCAGCATGTAGAGGGGTGAGGGCTCCCAGTCCCTGCCCAGGACCCTCTCTCTTTAGCAACCCAATCAAGCCCACACAGTTCAACACCTCATCTCACTCCATACATGCAGCTCCATCAGGTGATGCAGCCTGTTCACTCCAAATCTGAAGTCCCACAAGCTTGGCTTTATCTTGCTGCCACTGACACTGTTCTGATCCTAGACTCAGGGAAAATAATGGCTTGGGCACAGGTGGACATGTCATAGCTTGGGCAGCATGTGAGCAGCATGTGGGCAAGCCACAAACACATCAGTTTGGCTCAGTGCAGGATGCAGGACATGTCCAACTTGCTCAGAGGGGCTTGGACCAGCAAGGGCTGCACCTGCAAGCTTGGACCTGCAGCCCCACTGGGGTCTTTTCCAGGACCACAGCCCAGCAGCCCGTCCATGCTTCCCTCCACCAGCCCCATTCTTGGGTCCCTGTTGACCAAGAGCAGCATTTTCCAACAAAGCTATTCCATTAAATGTACTTGCTCTGAGGCAAGAGCCTCTTTCTGTACCAAGCACATTTTTAGGATATGTACATCCCCAGCCCATATCACTTTCTATTCAGGCTCAGAGCCTCCTTCCCCAACCTGAGTCTACCTTCAAAGCCAAGTAAGCTTCTGCTTTAAATCTCCCAAGGAAACAAATAAGCTTTTCCTTATCATTAACTACTCCCCTTAAAACACAAAGATTTCCTGAGTGCACACACACCGAACAACAGAATCAGAAATAGGTCACGAATATATGCTGGAATCATTGGTTATCCATGCCTGGCTGCATCCCTCCTCGTGCTTGCTGGGGTGGCAGGGATGCTCCAGGCATGACCAGGGCCACAGCAAGCGAGTGTAGGAGTTTTCTGATACTAGGCGACTTACACACCAGGAACACAAACTATCACATCCCACACCCCCTCCTCAAAGACCATTTCACTCCCAACACCCTGGCCAGAGGCATCTTCCCAGCAGCAGGCAACGACTCACACAATATAAAGCAGCTACTTACAAGTTGGAGCAATTACTGCAGCTAAATCTCCCCCCCACCCCCAACATCCCTCAGTAACATACATTTTCTTCCCAGCACAGCACAAGCAGCTCCCTCTTCCTTCAACAGTTCTGCCAGTGGTGACCCACATTCCCATGCTAGCCCAGCACTATTTGCTGCAAACACATTACTAATGCAACGCATACCTTGCACGGAGAGGCAACCTCGTAGACTCGTCATCTGCAAGCTGCCTCCCCCCCTCCTCCCTGATGTCACTGCTCTCAGCATCATTTCTTACCCAACCTAGATTGCAAGCCCCTCCAAGCAAGTGCCTCATCCGCTCCCGCTCTGGAAAGGGCTAGTTGCCAGCATGGAGAGGCAAGGAGACCAGTCAGACTGTCACTGAGACAGCAAGCAAGGCTTTGAAAGAAGCACAGGGTTTGGAATGGCAAGATGGAGAGAGGGGCACCTAAGGCAGTCCACAGCTTTCATCCAGCCTGGGGGCTGCAGGTAGCATATGGGGGAGAGGCCCCAGTTTCAGCTCAGAGAAGGAGCACAGGGGGAGGTGGGAAGGAGGAGTCCTACAAGCACAAGCTTTTACTGGTCAAGAATACTCCCAAAACTCAAGCTTTTCCTTGCTGAAGATTTAAGAGGTAGCTCCAGGCCAGCACTGAACTCCATTTTCATAGAGCCATAGAATGGTTTGTGTTGGAAGGGACCTTAAAGCACCTCCAGTTCCAACCCCTGCCACAGGCAGGGACACCTTCCACTAGAGCAGGTTGCTCCAAGCCCCTGTGTCCAACCTGGCCTTGAACACTGCCAGGGATGGGGCAGCCACAGCTTCTCTGGGCACCCTGTGCCAGCGCCTCAGCACCCTCCCAGGGAAGAGCTTCTGCCCAAGAGCTCATCTCAGTCTCCCCTCTGGCAGGTTCAAGCCATTCCCCTTGTCCTGTCCCTCCAGGCCCTTGTCCAAAGCCCCTCTCCAGGTTTCCTGGTCCCCCTTCAGGCACTGGAGCTGCTCTAAGGTGTCCCCTTCAGGAGCCTTCTCTTCTCCAGCTGCCCCAGCCCAGCTCTCTCAGCCTGGCTCCAGAGCAGAGCTGCTCCAGCCCCCGAAGCATCTCTGTGGCCTCCTCAGGCCTCGCTCCAACATCTTCATATCCATTGGGACACTGTAGCACACAGCAAGTCCAGAAAAAAGTTAGGAAAGACTTTAAAGGACTTC